GGCGGCAGCAGCGGCGGCAGCAGCGAGGAGGAGGCGCCCCGGGAGCGGCGGCCGCGGGACGGCAGCCCCGGGGCCCGCAGGCCCGGCAGGCCCGGCGCGGCGGCGGCGGCGCCCGGGGGCCCCCGCGGGCAGAGCGTGGTGATCTGCGAGCCCGAGCACAGCAAGGAGCGCATCGTGAGCGGGGGCGGCGGGCGGCGGGACACGGCACCCTGCGGGAGCCCCGTGCCCGGGGACAGCCCCGGGAGACAGCCCTGTACCCCGGGAGACAGCCCCGTGCCCGGGGGACAGCCCCGTGCCCGGGGACAGCCCCGGGAGACAGCCCCGTGCCCCGGGAAACAGCCCCGTGCCCCGGGAAACAGCCCCGTGCCCCGGGAGACAGCCCCGGGAGACAGCCCCGGGGGACAGCCCCATGCCCCGGGGGACAGCCCCGGGGGACAGCCCTGTACCCCGGGAGACAGCCCCGGGAGACAGCCCCGGGAGACAGCCCCGGGAGACAGCCCCGTGCCCGGGGGACAGCCCTGTACCCCGGGAGACAGCCCCGTGCCCGGGGGACAGCCCTGTACCCCGGGAGACAGCCCTGGGAGACAGCCCCGTGCCCCGGGGGACAGCCCCGTGCCCCGGGGGACAGCCCTGTACCCCGGGAGACAGCCCCGGGAGACAGCCCCGTGCCCCGGGGACAGCCCCGGGAGACAGCCCCGTGCCCCGGGAGACAGCCCCGGGAGACAGCCCCGGGGACAACCCCGGGAGACAGCCCCGTGCCCGGGAGACAGCCCCGTGCCCCAGGGGACTGCCCTGGGAGACAGCCCCATGCCCCGGGGGACAGCCCCGGGGACAGCCCTGTACCCCGGGGGACAGCCCCGTGCCCCATTGCACAGCCCCGTGCCCCATGGGAGACCCCCTGTGCCCCACTGCACAGCCCCTGAGCCCCATTGCACAATCCCCGTGCCCCATGGCAGACACCCCGTGCCCCACTGCACAACCCCTGTGCCCCATGGGACAACCCCATGCCCCATTGCACAGCCCCCGTGCCTTGAGAATCATCCCCGTGCCCCATTGCACAGCCCCCGTGCCCCATGGGACAACCCCCACTGTGCCCCCCTGTGCCCCATGAGATACCCCTGTGACCCATTGCACAGCCCCTGAGCCCCATGGGACAACCCCGTGCCCCATTGCACAGCCCCTGTGCCCCACTGTGCCCCATGAGATACCCCTGTGACCCATTGCACAGCCCCTGAGCCCCATGGGACACCCCCCCGTGCCCCATTGCACACCCCCAGTGCCCCTGTTGTACCCCCTTATCCCCCCCTGAC